TTTAATATATTTTATTTTACTTAAATATTTTTAAATATTATATTGCCAGTCATTAATGGTCTACTCAATATATTAAAAGTTATATAAAAAGTATATTACTCAATAATTTGTTTATTTTGTCCCGGTTTTACCTTATAAATTTATAGCAACTGTACTCAATCAGCAATTAAAATTTGTATTAAAAATAAAAAATATATTGTTAAGTAAAATTCTAAATTATTAATTATACATTATAGTATAATTATTATAATATAATAAGTATTATATTTGTAAAGACCGGTTTCAAATAAAAATTCATCAACAGGTAAATATTAAGTTAATAAAACTGAAATATAGTCAATAATAATAGTAATAATAATATTTTATTGACTTTTTATTTATGTGACAATGAATTTTTAATTTGAAACCGGTACTTTAAAAATATAATAATACTCCAGGCTAAGAATTTATTTATCTATAATATAAAAATGAATCGCAAAATGTGTTGGTAAGCGCATAACTCAACAACGCCTGGACCAATTTGGCCAAATCTTTTTTTCAAATGTTCGTTGAAGTTCAAGGATGGTTTTTACGGCGAGAAAAATTAGAATTATTGCTGGAAAAACCCTAAAAATAGCCCTTTTCTTTTTCTAATACTAATGATTTGTAACTAAAACGTAGTACTATTAAAAAACTATTAAAAAACTATAAAAAACTATTTAAAAACTATTAATTTTATTTTTGGTAGTAAATGACGGGTATTGCATAAATATTAAACAAAAAAAGATCCCGCAACAGGTGTCAAAACAAATAAGAATGTTAGTTCGAAAAATTATTATGCATATCGGTTGATGATTAAACGCGATCTGGACAAAATTATTCTACGATATCATGAGCTTCGTCAACAATTCATGGTCGAAATGTAAGTAAAGATAGAGAGCGAACGATTTTGATACTTGCGATTTCATCAAAAAAAGCTGCGTGCAGAAGATTCTCAAAACAATTGTTAGATATTGGAGATGAGAAAGTTACTACAGATGAAACGGAATGTATAAAATTACCGACCGATTTCTGCATAATCATTTATTCGCAAGATGCTCTCATTGACTAGATATTTTCCAATGTACACAGACAATACACAAATCATGAGTGGCTGGCAGAAAGAGCAATTTCAGTAGTAAAAAATGTGGACGTCAACGAATTGAATCTCAAGATAAACATTTGTTACCAGGAGACATGGTGTCATACAAATCTATAGATATAGTTTGCTATGCTACTGAAGCTGTAAATTATCTAACAGAGTTTTTAAACTCATTGGACTTACCAGGCATGCCATCGCATAATTTACAATTGAAGGTTTGTTCTCCGGTTATTTTGCTTCATAATTTGACCTATCACGGTTGTACAGAGGCACGCAATAAGTTGTTAAAAAATTAATGATAAATGTTATCGAAGCCATAATTTTAAATGGCAAATTCCGAGGTGAAAATATATTATTACCGCGAATCTCTATTATACCCATAGATGTGCCAATACAATTTAAACGCCTTAAATTTCCAATTAGATTGGCATTTGCAATGACTATCAATAAGTTTCAAAGCCAAACGATGTCTGTAGCTTAGATTTGAGCACATCATATTTTTCACACGGATAATTACGTGGTGTGCTCTCGAGCCATCTAGTTTGTGTTGGCGAAAGATGGGATAACAAAAAATATTGTACACTCTGTTGCATTAAGGGATAGTGTAACGATCAAAATAGATTAGTGTCCGTGTTTGGTTTTCCTCAATAAATAATAACCATATTAAATAAATGCGCAATCACCTACAACATCGATGAACGAAAACACATTTGGAATTCCCTCCAACCTCTAGAATTGCACACCTCTCTACCCGTTTGTGTGTGATTGTTAGTGGGTGGTCATGTAATAATTGCATGATAACGAGTATCGGCCAATTATTATAATTAAATAATAATATTATTATTATTATTTCAATGAGCCAGTTTTCGTATATTTCTGAAAAGTATTATACTGGCTCACTTTTTGTGCAGCTGTTCCGTCGTCCACAACATGAACGAGTAAACCGGACCATGCCGGTGCGTCTTGGGACGACGACCAATTGTCCGATTGGTCGGTAATATATTACAATTAAAAAATCAAAACTATTCTATTATTATTATAATACCTTGGCCGGTATTTGTCAATATTATTTTATACACCAGTTATATTTTTATAAATCCGCGTATGGAAAATCCTCTATATTTTTTTTAATTCATACTATAAAAAGGTGGAGGTTTTACGCCCGTCCGAGCTTTCCTCCACCATGTAAAATTTTTATTATAATATATTTATATTTATATTTAATATCTTTTTCTTTATTAATCCTTTTCCTTTATTTATTAATATAGTCTAAGTGACCATGATATTAAATCAATTTACTCCGACCCCAAAAAGGGTCTCGGTATTTGGTTGGCGACCCATATATCTGTAAAGGTAATCGTCAACGGGCGCTCGACAGAACTTACTGTATGAGACGTCGCAATAGATATTGTTTTTTACTAATATTATCATAATTAGCGATATATATAATTTTAATGGATCAATTTTAATAAATTATTAAAAAAATAAATGTTTTTATGTTTTTTCATTTTTATATTTCGTCACCATTCATAGCACTCCATATCTCTTTCTTACATTCTTATCCTTACCCATATTCTTACATGCCTATATTTAATTAGTTATTTTTTTCTAGCAAAATATTCTCTAGAAATAATTTATATGACAAAACAACGTTTGTCGGGTCAGCTAGTTTACTTTAAAATGAGAATTAGTATTTTTAATTGAAAATAAGCTGGGTATATTTCAAATTAAATTATTCTAATTATGTATACTAAAATAGTTCCAGATAATAAGAGTAGAATAATAATAATAATATTTAATCATATCACAGAGTAAATTAAATGATTAAATATTAAAATATGTTAGAACTTGCACCAAGTAAAACTTTCTAAAAAATATGGTAGTTTCTCAGATCACTCGCCTGTTTATTTCTGAACCCAAATGACTGCGATAAGACAATAGAAACAATCTGAATCGTCATGAAAGCCCATTTTAATGGGAACATTTTTAAATGATTAAGCTAATTAAACACAATCAGTAATTTAATAGAAATAACCAATTGAATCTTTAGTACGTCACTAAAACGATTCTTGAACTGAGAATTGAGATTTATATCTAAAGATTCAAAACTTAATTCAGAGTGCGGTATATAACATGATGGTGACGTCCAATCGGTGTTATCAGTTGATTCATTTTTCTATGATAACTGAGAACAGTGATAACACTAATAACAATTTATTAATAGTGTAAACATATACCTTTAGGATAAAAGTATAGTACGATTCTTATTCTATTACATTGATACGATTCTTATTTCTAAGATCTTGGTGTTCTTTCATATTATTAAGTCGACAATGGGCAAGGGCCGTGCTGAACCAGGGACCCCAAAGTATATTGCAAATAAAATAAAATCAAAAGGATTGCAAAAGTTAAGATGGTTTTGTCAAATGTGCAACAAACAGTGTCGAGACGAAAATGGATTCAAATGTCATACTATGTCTGAATCACATCAACGGCAATTGTTATTGTTTGCAGATAATGCAGGACGTTATCTTAGTGAATTTAGTTATGAATTCTCTAAAGGATTTCTATTCCTGTTGAAGCGACAGTTTGGTACTAAAAGAGTCAAAGCGAATAAAGTCTACCAAGAATACATATCTGATCGCACTCATTTGCACATGAATGCCACTCAGTGGACCACACTTACGGGATTTGTGAAATGGCTTGGTAAAACCGGTAATGAAATAAACAAAATAATAATTTTAATCAAATGTAGTATTTATGTTAAAATTTTCCATAATTTTCTTTAGTCTTTGTCTCTAATGCCGGCTACACACATTCAGTTTTAACTGTCACTTTTCATTTAACAGTTAAAACTGACTGTGTGTTGGTTGAAAACTGGTAGTTCTCTTGTTATCAATTAAAACTAATTGAAATATGATTTCACATATTTTTAAACTGAAATGATGGAACTATTCAGTAAAAATGTGTGTAGGTGATTATCGTTAATCGTGTCGCAGTTATCTACGCATTCGTACCCGTATACCTATATACTTCTGGGAAACCGTGAAAAATCAAAAATGTCCCAAAAACCACTTTTTGCATTTACATGGATTTTTTTTATTCTTTTTAAACACTAGTAATAGGCTAAATATGGCTAAAGCATCATCTGATGATATCTCGTGTGTACACTTTACACTACACTAGATGTACCGACAGAGAACACAAACAAATGATGTCTGTATTCAGTTAAAAATTAACGTGTATGGACTCAAGGTGCATTAGTTTTAACTGATCATGTGTAGCCGGCATAAGGCATTCCTTGTGTAATTTGTTTTCATTAGTTACATTTTATTATATTAATACAAAATGTTTTAGGTAAGATTAAATTCATCATAGGTTCTACCTTCTATAAAATTATATCTTGTTTAATTGTTAATTATTTATTATTAATCAGTTAATATAGTTCTTAAATTTGAAAAAATTAAGGTATAGTTAGAAATATATTTATTTCTTTGATAGTGGATTTAGTATTTTAAACTAATCAAGTGTTTACTCTATCATATCAATATAGTAAATTATATAATAATAATTTATCTCTATATATATTAATTGCATTACCTGTTGTTTATTTTT